TTCTTCTCCAAGCTGCACATTTTAAATTTACTTCTGCTCTACTTGTTGCTCTTTTTTCATTGCAGACTGCATAAGAGTAATCATTAATAACCATGCCACTGACTCAATGTTATGCTATCTTGAAATTTTTCCCACCAAATAAATTAGTCCATTTCTTTTTAACTCAGCCTCATGCAAATTCTCAGGACATGGTAGAATGCAGCCAAGTTATTTGCCAGAATCTCACACAAATGACTTCTAGCCAAGCTGCTGGCCTTGTTCCCCACTGAAACCTCAAGAGATGGGTCTACACTGGCCATATTACACTCAGCACTTCTTTCTTCCAAGCTCCCATAAGAACAGTTCATTAAGTTCTGTCCATAGCACTCAATAACTTTGCTAGCCCAAAGTTCCAAAGTATCATAGTCCTTTAGAAAGTAGCATGATCAGGTTTATCACAGCAATAACCCCATTTCTCCACCAATTTCTGTATTAGTTACTTTTCTCTTGCTGTGCTAGACTAATCTGACAAAAAGCAAGTTAAAGGAGAAAGGGTTTATTTTGGCTACAGTTTCAGAAGCCATAAACTCCATCATGGTGGAGAAGTAATGATAACAGGAGCAGGAGGCTAGTGTGACAGTCAAGAAGCAGACTGATCAGATTTCATCCCCACACAGAAAGCACAGAGAGAGAACAGGAAGTGAGGCCAGGCTATAAAACCTCAAAGCTCTCCCCCAGTGACATACTTCCTCCAGTAAGGCTCCATCTCCTAAAGGTCCCATAACATCCCAAATTGGTCCCACCAGCTGGGAACCAAGCACTCAATCACACAAGCCTATGGGGGACATTTCATATTCAAGCCACAGCACTGGTACTATGAAAATAATTTGCCAAACTTTTTATTGCCCATTGAATCATGATCATGAATTTATTAAATACTTCAGAAGCCCCACCCTTAAAGGTTTATGTTCATGCACACACACACACACACACATACACAAAATCTCTGTACCTTTACTCTAGTCATATTTACAAACACTATATATATTCAATTAGTGAATCAGTAAGCAAATTGATAGTGCATACATTGGGATGCTACTAATCAAAAATGAAGAACAGCTGGATATCTAAACCAGATTAGGGCACAACAACAACAAAAATGAAATTATAAACCAATTTCCATGATGAACATACCTGCAAAACTTCTCCATTAAATACTTGCAAACGGTATGCAGCAGTACATTTATAAGGCTTAGGGCATACTGTGGAATTGAAGGCAGAAAGTATGTAAGAACTGGAAGGTAGCATGAAGGGCTACAAAATAGTGTTCACTAGATTTGGTGCAAGTATTAACTTGTAGCAACTGTAGTTTCCTACAGGAAGCCCAGGATTATTAACTTGTAGAAACTGTAATTTTACAGGACTCCCACACAAGACTGGACCCAGCAACAGTAAGTCAAGTAAGGTGAAGGGGCTCACAAGGCTCTACCCTTTACTTCTTAACTATTGATTATTAATAGATTCTGGAGGAGAGGGAATCACTGTCTTTAGGTATGAAGCCACTGCTGATCCCACAAAGTGCCAACAAATAGCTCCAAACTCATGGTACCAGACCACCTTGGTTAATCTCAGTGGGTCACAAACAAACTGAATAGTCATGAATGTGGGGGAAAGCCTTGTGGGGGAAGAATGTTGAAACGTATCATGCAAGCTGTACACACACAAAAATAAATAAAATAAATTTTATTTTTAATTCTTAAATTTATTGTTTCTGCTTGCATGTATGTGAACGCATGGCAGACATACAATGCCTTTGGAGGCCAGAAGAAGGCATCTGAGCAACTGAAACTAGTATTATAGATGGTTGTGTGCCACCATGTGGGTGCTGGGAACCAAACATGGGTCCTCTGCAAGAACAGCCAATTGATTAGAAGCAGAGAAATAAGGGAAAAGTGCTTTATCACTGAAAGTTCAGAAATGATGTGAACAGTATGCCAGAGTGTTTTTCACTGGGTCAAAACACCTGCTGAAATAACTTTGAAGGATGAACTTACTTTGCCTCATGGTTTCAGAGACTTTGGTCCACAGTGTGCATTCTAGACCCTTGGAGAGCTATCATGACAGTGGGAGCATGTGACAGAGGCCTACTCCCTGGTGGTTGATAGAAATCAGAGAGGAACAAGGACCTGGTGCCTAGATCTGACCTCGGAAGGCTTTCCTCTAGGGGCCTGCTTCCTCCATGTGGATCTCCCCTCCTAAAACTCCCCAAATAGCATTACAACTGAGAACCAAGCCTTTATTTCACTTAATATGCAATTCCTAACCAAAGAAATAATTGAGGCCTCAGAGTAGCATCAATAGGATAAATATGTATTTATTCTATGAGTTGGCAACCCACCCCTGGATGAAGGAAAACTTGTGCTCAGACAAAAATCTGTGTGATTATCTTCATTAGCTTGAATTATCAGATAGTTCTACCTACAAAAAAAATTAATAGGCAACTGTCTAGATGATACTCTGGTGATTTATTTCCATTTATATATTATTATAAGGACTAGAGATTGAAGTTGGGGCCATGTGCATACTAAACACATATTTTACCCCTGAAATACACCCTCAGTTACTCTTGCATTATTGATATAACCAAAATCACATCCAGTTGTGATTAACACTTTACATATGAAAATGTAGGTTATCTACTCTGGGTATTTGTTTTTCTAGATGCAATTACTCAAAATGTGTGGACTTCTGTATGTTACATTTTTATGATCATGTGGGCCTAAAACATTAAATCTTGTATGAAGTTTGGGTGACAGATGCAGGAGGATTGTCTCAACTTTCAGGCCAACCTGACCTACACAATGTGTCCCAGGCCAGCTCTGACTACCTAGCATGACTATTGGAAAACAAACAAAAAATTCAAATGTTGAAAACTTCTTTGGGCACATTGGAAAGCTCTAGTTTCAGTTTAAATAACTTAATAGATGCCCCTGTAAATGTTTGTACTGTAAACCACATTTTCAATCTGTACTTTTGCATATTGTAGGCAGGAAGGTAAATGTGAATTAATGACAGATGCACTGTTTGGAAAGATGCCAATTATATAATAATTTTAACAGCATCTATTATAAATACACTTTCAAATGTTCATATCAACCTCAATAAGAATCTAGAAGTATTGTTCTATAAAAGAATATGGGAGTTGAAATAGGTTAACTTAAGTAATGGTTATAGGACAACTGAAGTGGAATGGTGAATGTTCACCTTGACATTGATTCCGATGTACATTTGAGTTTGTGTTGTGACAGGATATTATATACAATATTGTATATTTCTATGAAACTTATTCTTTAAGAACATAACTTTTAGTTATTTCCACATTGTATGTAGAGATTGTTATATGACATATACAGGATGCATAAGAGGGGATTTTTGTTTGCTCATATCTATAATCTTCACATTTCTTTCTAGGTTTTTATTATAAACCTGCTTTGTAACCCTGAATAGAAGCATTTGTCGTGTCACCATGTTCATTGTTCTGAACTGTTTATATCTCAGCAGGAATAATGACATGAATAATTTGGCTGTTGAGATGTGAAATCAGAATGAACACTTGTCAAGTACTTTTTTTTAGCAAAATTAAATGTTACTAATTTAAAGTAGGTCAGAATCATGTTTTTCTGCATATTTATTTATTCTATGATTTAAATTTAGATCATTTGATATACATTTTTACAATTGACTCATTTCTGGATCATTAAACACCATCAGCAAGTAATACTTATTAAGCTTTTGCTGATATATCGAGAACGACTGCTTTGCAGAGGTGGGGAAAGAGCACATACTTCTCCCTTTAAAAATGTAACTCTTCAGCCAAGAAACACTTTTATGTGTCTAGTGAACTCAACTATAGCATTTCTACACCTCTGCCATCCATTTACCTCACTTCTTTCTGCCTCTTCTCTTTCTAAAAATCTATATGAAATCTTAAAGGCACTTTTGAATCATTAGCAGACACATTAAGGGGCAGATTTATTTCACATTAAATTTTTATGATAGACTTTAGATCAACTACTTTCAGATTTTTTCACTGTGAGGAGGATGTGGAAATAGATGAAGGAAATATATGGGTAAGTTTTGTCAACTGATCGCCGAATGGGACGGGCATAAGATGGAAACAAGAAAGCCGACTAGGAATATGAAATAGCTTGTAAAGTACCAGAGTGTGATACTGAAAGCTCTTTCCACTCAGTTCTTTTAAGGGTTTGGTTAACAAAATGCATATTATTCTAGTTAATGCTTTTGTTGTGAAATCTGTTTTCTCCTGAAGCAGATTAATGCATCTTTTGTAACTCATTTGGGGGAGGGTCACCAGATGGTATACAAAGAACAGAAATTTAGTGACACTGACTCAGTTTTGCTTGTTTTTGGCTTTGAAATTCAGTAAAGGAGATTGAGTGTAGCATCTAAATGTAGCTATCCTCTGTCTCCTTAGTTGTGTGTCCTGTCTCTGTTAAGAAGGAGCAGACTTTTTCTAGTTAATTCAAGGAAATTAAAGTTATTTATAGTTTCCTCCTTTAGTCTCAGAGAAAAGTAGAGAATATTTCTTCAATTGATTATTTGAATATGTAATGTGTCTACAATAAAATAAATTCATAATGTGCTGTTACTTTTTTACTGTTAAAACAAAGGTAATTTCACATGTTAATATGACATATACACTCATTTATTTATTATACCTTTGTTTCCAAAAGATATACTCTTATTTTGAATATTTATTCTCTAAAAAATAAAAGTTATAAATTTTTTTTGCTACTCTTTGCACATCAAATCAAGATCTCGATCATAAAAAGTAAAAAAGAAGTTGACCTTTGGTTGACAAGTTTATGGCAATCTCAACTGTGAACGTTTTAACTCTGTGTCCCTATTTTCATTTATGTAAACATCCCTTGACATTTTGTAGATGACTGTGAAACTTGAATTATGTATAAACATAACTCATTGTCTGAAACTCTTTCTAGGTAAACAGGATTACAAAAAAACCAAACCCATTTTACGAGCAACCAAATTAAAAGCAGAAGCAAAGAAAACAGCAATAGGAATAAAGGTAGACATCTATTTGATAATGTTGTAATTTGATATCTGTTGGTTATTTCATACAATAATGTTGTAATTTGATACCTGTTGGTTATTTCATACAAGCATGTTGTAATTTGATACCTGTTGGTTATTTCATACAAGCATGTTGCATAACTGTTGACTTTTGAATGTTTTATGATAGTTCAAAATCTAAATAAAATGCAGGAATTGAAGGTTTTTGTAAAGAATTTACTTAATGGAAAACATCCTTCCTATTTTGAAATATTGAGGAATCTTAAATAAGACATAGTTATAGTTAAATTCTATAGCATATGTAGTACATAGAACATATATGTTTATATATATACATACATACATATAATGTAGTTTATATTGCTAAAAGAACCAGTTATATTTGAAGTAATTTTTCTAGTCATTGAAATATTGATCAAACATTTTAGTCATGTATGTAGACTTAATCAAGATTCTTTGATTTTTTGTTAAATTTTACCATACAGTTCTTTACATTATTGTTGCAAAGCTATATATAGATCAGTGCTGCTTGTAATATTCGTGTCTCAATTGTGGCTCATACTCACTCTATGATGAGATTCCAATGACATTCTCAACTTGTTCTTTTAGCAAGCCAATGTTTATCTGCTTACAAGGGATAAATGCGTCTGAAAATGATATTATATTAATCCGATGTGCTAGTACAACAAAATCTAACAAAATTACATTTACAATATTACTCATGTCAATTTTTACCAAGTATTTAGAATGGAATAAACTAAGTAGAAAAATTAGTTTTGTATTCCTGCTACCAAATGTGTGAAGTACAAATGCCTAATACATACATTTTATATAAACATTAAACTGTTAAAAGATTTGGGTTCTCATCTGACAGATAAAACAATCATTTTTTCTAAGTCATAGATTATAACAAATACTGAGGTATTCCCAGCAAGCTGTCACAGCTGCTGTACTGCAGAGGGTAGATTTGGTTGTCCTCCAAATCTCACCATTATGATCATGAAACATGCCTTCTTTCTGGCTCTGATTGCTGACTGTGATCAAGCCTTGTTGCATGATGTGCTGTGTTTCCACAACACAGTCTCCTCTGTTAGTGTTGTATAGCAGATTTTAATGAAAAAACATAATGATTTCCTTTTTGTTTAAAAGAGAAATGATTCATCTTATGATTTTTTTTTGTAATTTCACAGGCAATTGAATTCATCTTTAAAAGATATTTCAGTGATATGAGTTTTGTAAAAACAATACTTAGCTTTTATTTTGTATTTAGTGATGCAGTGATTGACTCTTACAGTAAAAACATTTTATCATTGTCCTCCAAGGGAATATTTAATATTTAATTTTTCACAACACAGTACTTTTTTAAGAAAAAATAGCAGACCAACAAAATCTACTTCTGGCCAAGTTTAATGAGTTAAGATTTGGGATGTAGGGCTGGAGAGATGGCTCAGCGGTTAAGAACACTGTTCTTCCAGAAGACTCGGGTTCGAATCCCAGCACCCACATGAAAGCTAACAACTGTCCGTAACTCCAGTTCCAGGGATCCGACAGCCTCTTCTGTCCTCTGCGGGCATTGCATAACATGGGTGCACTTACCTACATGCAGGCAATACACGTATACACAAAAAATAAAATAAATAAAATATTTTTTAAAAATCATGCTTAAAAATATGGGGCTGGAGAGATGGCTCAGTGGTTAAGAGCACTGACTGCTCTTGCAGAGGACCTGGGTTCGATTCCCAGCACCTACATGGCGGCTACAAATTGTCCTTAACTCCAGTTCTAGGGGAATCTGAAGCCCTTTTCTGACTCTGGGGCATTACATGATGGGCTGTAGTACAGCTGCTTATTTATTTACCACCCTTTCATACAAACCCCTTATTTAACTTGCTCTTCTACTGTTGCTTTTCCTTTTGTTTGAAGGAATAAATGCCATGATTACCAGATAAAGTCTAGTGCAGTTTTCTTAATATTTTTCAAAAACAATAAATACTTAATTTTTCTTATTTTTAATTTACAATATAAAGTATGTACAGGTGAGTGTCTAATATCAGAGCATAGCTCCTTTTTAATAAGCTAACATATCATTTTGATTGTAAACTTTGGAAAACAAGGACTTCAAATGTTATTTCGTTTGCTTGGTAATGTATGTGCAAAGCCCATTACGAAGATGTGAAACTTTTTAGAATTAGAACCATGAAGGTGTTTTACATTTCAAATCCAACATACTAATTAGTTTGCCCTGTCAAACTTTGATTGCCTTGTCATTTTGGCATAGGATTTTAAATAACGAAGTTTCCTTCAACAATTGCCTTTTAACGCCTTTTAATTTCCCTAGTGAGTGATTTTATCCATATTGATAATGTCAGAGAAGCAACTAAGGACTAATGAACATCAAGCATGTTTGACTCTTCTCCAGTTGCTACAGAATGACCATAATATTGCATTATGCTATCACTTACTATTTGTGAATGAAACAGAGTTATACTCTTCAAACAAATTAAATCTGCAAAAATATGAACAGGTGCATGGAACAGAAAAATAATACCAATATCAACAAGTGAAATCTCACCAAAAGTCCTGGGATCACATCTCTTTTGACCTCACTGTTACCATAGTCTGGCTAGATCTAAAAGTTATTCTTGTAATTGGAGAATGTATCATTCACCTCATAGTTGTTGTTGACAGAGCTAAATAGTGCAGAGAAAATGGAGAGTGCTGAATTTTCTACATCTAAGTCACTTGTGACTATTAAATGGCAGAGAAAATACAGTTATAAGCCATTTCTCATTTGTACAAATGAGACATCCCTCGAATGTTTGTCAGTGGGCTTGCATTATTTCATCAATTCCATGTAGCTGTTATATTGCAAAATGCTCTCAAATTTGCTGTGGAGATAGTATTATATCCATAATAATGTTATCAAATTATAAAAGCATATTTTAATATGCTTTCTACAAAGGTGATATAAATATTACCAGATCCATTTTTATTTAGAAATCAATATAAGTAATTACAGTATTATAGTAATTTCTTTACAATAATATATGTAAAGAAAGATGAGTAAGACATGATTGTCTTGAAAAAAACATATACAAGCAATCACGACCATATTTAATTACCATATTAAACCAGCAGCACTGAGGTTAGAGATAAGAAGAATTATAAAATAAGGCATTTATCCTTAAAGACTTCTGTGGTTTTGCAAATGTATATTCCTTAATAGAAAATGTTTTGTGGGAACAATTAATGATTTCAGCATAAGATAAAAATATACCATGTTAAATACAATTAATTTATAATTGAAGAACTATTATTATTTCTTGTGCTTTATAAGTGTGAACAAAGTGTCATAATTTATGTATAATAACACAGTGAATACCACCGAAAAATCTTCCATAGCCAGCTTTGCTATTTGGTTGCTTATGGGTTAGAAGATTAATTTTCCTGGATTACAATATCACTAAAATTCTTTTGGAATGCAAATACTTGTGTTTCCTAGCATTTAGAAGAAAGTGAATTTGTTAATTTATTTTAAAAGTTTATTAGGAAAACATAATTATAACAAAAGAACAGGGATAGAAAATTTAGTTTCATTACATAAATAAAATATTCAGTGTCAACCAGATCCTGCCAACATCCATTTGAGTTGAACAGCTTGAAGTGTTATGTTTGTTCTTTTTGGCATTTCTTGTTTAAATCTAAAAAATGCCAACTCTCAACAAGGGAATGATAATGCTTACAGGTGTCTAAGCTGTGGATACAACCACCAGCATCCTGAAAGCTTTATTTCCAGACTTGATCATGGCCTGACACGTCTAAACATTCAGCCTCCACATGTTTGCCTGTTTGAAAAAAAAAAAAAAAGTAGAGGCTTTTTAAAGAAAAGTATTTATAACATCTTCACCCAGTGCCTCAGACACCTGCAAGCTGCACCTGACCAGACATCACGGAACATCAAGGGCTTTTTCAATATCTACTCTCTACTTCCTACCCTTAAAATTCATCCTCATGCCTCTGAATACTCTGCAAGTGTACAGTGAAGGTAATAACAAGTTGTCTTAAGAACAATGCCTGGAAAAGCACTAATTACAGTTGATGATCAGTAAGATGAGAAACATGGTCTCTAATTGAGAATAAGAATGTTTCTGTCTTGAGATTAGGTGAGTGGTGACTGCTGCAGATCGGTTTTGTTGTCCACTGTACAAAACAGATGGAGTTTGCAGTTGTGTGTCGCTTGTTTATTACATCCTCTTAGAATTAGTAGCTGTGTAACCAGATGGGTCTGGGACACAGCTGTGAATATAAGAAAATAAATGAAACCTGTCTGATGCTGCCATGCCCTTTTGAGATGCCAAAGTGTTCCAACTGTAACAAAGAAAGATTCACTTTCACCTGATGTCACATTGATGTATTCGATTTTAAAAAGCAAGCCCCACAACAATTGTTGACACAGGTTTTCAGCCTGCATTTAATATTGATATTTATTTTCATAGTTTGGATATCTAAATAAATTTAATTATGAAACTGAAAATATGTACATAATCTCTTTATAGTTTCAACATTTAGCTAATTTGTTGATTATGAATCAAATTCACTTTAATGTTTTTTGAAGTTTATTAGGTGACAAATGTTGAATTATGTTTCATATTCTTACAAAATATGAAATATATTCATCTGAATGCAAATGCATTGCTTCCCCATGACACAGTGCCAGGTGAGGGTTATGATACACAGGTGTAAATCAGAAGGGACAGTTAGAGTTTAGGATCCTGAACTGGACTTTTTTTTTCTGATTAGTGAAACAACTTATTAGTATTGAGAAAGTTACTTTGGCACACACACATACTTTTTTGAAGGAAAATATGGCTTTTATCATATAATCTAAATTTTAGCCATTATTTTAATATTTTTATCAATGTAAACAATGTCAAATTACCAGATAGAATATACAATACCATGCTTCAGAGATGTAATAAATTGTATTATATTATGATTCATGAGTTGATTATTGAGTTTTATTCCCCCATTATACAAGTTACAGAATTTAGAATTTTTAAAACTTAGAGTTTGACACACAACTGCAACCCAAGAACTCAGGAGGTTAAGCCAGGAGATGCTGGGGCTCAATGCCAGGCTCATTTGCATCACAAGTCCAGCTTGGGTTACATGAGACCCTGTCTTAAACAAATAAAAACAAAACCAACAGAAAAAAACCCTAAAAATTAAAAATGAAAAAAACTTAGAGTTTGAATACAGTTCTATTTTATACGATATATTTATAGAAACTAATTATCATAGTCATTTCTTCCTAATAATTTTTTTTAAAATCTTTGGTTAAATTCTATCACAAGCATATTTAAAAAGCCATTACACACACTCAATTAGATATCATATAGCCTGTATAAACACAAAATACATTGCTTGCACACAAAGTTTTTTATATCAAAATTGTGAAAATATGTTAAGACAACAGATTTAAATTTTACCAGCAGAAAAAAATTGACAAAAAGTCATAGCAGAAATGCCTCAGTCACTTAAGTACTTGACAGCACAATAGAAATTGTCATGTGAAGTTATTAATTATTACTGGGCTGAAGTGTTTGCATTCCCCCATGTGGAGTAATACTGTTAAATCTGATGTAACTGCCCTCTCCGTCATTTCCACTGTTCTGTCTTCCCCAGGAAGTCGGCCTTGTCCTCGCAGCCATCTTGGCTCTCCTACTGGCTTTCTACACATTCTTCTACCTCAGACTGTCCACGAATATTGACTCTGATCTGGATCCAGATGAAGATTAGCTGAGCAGCAATCAATAAATGGAAGGGAAATAATTTTTGCAAGAGCATCCTTTTGGACAAATACCTTGTAAAATACTGACACTAGATCACTTTGAATATTTTCTTCTAGTACTGTCAGTTTACAGAAATATCTTTTTACATAGTTGCGTAGGATGTCAAGAAGATGTGACCTAGCAATCTAGAATAGTGAATGCTCCTTGATGCTTTCATAAATTTTTCTGCTATGACAGGCACCCTATACATGATCCATTTATATAAAGTGAATAACAGATCCTAAATTTTTCACATCTCTTCCCAACTTGGATATATAACTCCATCAGTTACAAATCACTGTCTATTTTTATTCTGTGTGTATTGTACATGAAAGTATGTATCATCATTTGCAGAAGCATACTCAAAATCATATTCAGAACCTAAGAAGAAATGGAACGTCATGGGAAATTTTTATTTCACAAAGAAGCACGCTTTCTTTCTAGATATATTTTACATCATTAGGGAAACTATCTGCACATACATCTACAGTAATCTTCTTCCTTCCTCACCAACTGTTAGTGCACATGTGCTCTGTCAGAAATGGCACCTGGATGACAGAAGCTCAGAGTCACATATGTCTCTAAAATAGAGTTCCTTTCCTCTTGGGCTGCCTGAACTGGTGTAAATAGAAAGTTCAGTTGATCCTGATTTTAATTAACTTATTACTCTATTAATATAAAGTTGGAATTCTATTTTAATTACGTCTTTCTGGCTGGCTGCAGTATCAGTTTGCCCCTCTTGTTAAGGAGCGATGTAACAATCTGTCATTTAATTGTGCAGGGTTTTTCACACCACAGTATTAGCAGAACTGCTCCCTACTCAGAATCATTTATTGGGTTGTCTCCTAAATCTGGACATTATACACTTGTTTTAAACATTCCATTTTGGCTTCCAAAGGTTATTATCAATCTATGGAGAAAAATACATAATGGAATACATGTCTCATATTATTTTCATATGTACTTTCCTGTAAAATTTTTCAATATATTTTGAATTTGTTATAGCATGGCTATTCAATATTTTTGTTGGCAATCCAAATTTTAATAAAATTGTGAAACACATGAGTACATAAAGCTTAGAAAATTGGTAAATATCCAGCCATGGAATAGTTGTTGACTACTATCTGCTATAAAGATGTATAGAAAATGGTTATTTTGAAATACGTGCACAGTGTTCATGGTTTATACATTGTATTTATAAAAGGTAAGTATAATACAGAAGCTGCTTCCAGGTGTGCCAAGAGACAAAAGCTTTAATAAATACTCTAGAAGCAGCTATGACTTTATAAGCAGTTTCTGAAAGAACAGATATTCTTTGATACTTTTGTAAAAAGTTGAGTGTCAGTGTAACATTATGTTTTGTAGAATTTTTAAGTAGCATAATTTATTTCATCAGTGTAAAGCAGCCAAAGGTTCCAATATCCTCACATTATTTTGCCAAACATCTAAGGGCAAAATTTAGCCAGTGTTATTTGCTGGATTCTTCCCATCGAACTCACAAACTCAAGAGACAGAACAAGAGTTCTTATATATTCACCACAGAGGACAAATCCAAGTGGCATTTTTAGGAAAGGTTGCAGCATTTTATGCCATGTGGTATGTCTGTTCGCGAAGTGGGAGGCAAGGGAATATCCAAGCTGGCATTTTGGATTTGATGGGCCTTTTACTTTCCTGAGTGACGTGCCACATGTCAAGAAATACTGCTTTCTTCCAGTCCCACCACATTTACGTGAACAATTTTCATTTAGTTATTTCCCTCTCATATGGTGTTAAAAAGAGCCACATTCAATAAAGATTAGTTCTGGTTTTCTGCAGTAATTTAAATGGGAGGATACCTATCCAAATAAGATGTTAGCATAGTTTACAGTGTTTAAAGTAGATTATTATACTATGGAAATGTTTGACAAGTGATTATTCTGAGAAAAACTTGAACATTCTGTTTTACTCATGAGTTGTTCTTTTGGGGGAAAAATTTTCTATAGCAATAAATATTAGTTTAAATGTAGCATAATTGTAAACACGTTTCATTGCCTAACTTTATCAATATCCTGAGTTCTTTTGTATAACTGATTGATTTATGATGACACAAAGAACCATAAGTCATTGGCTAAAAGCTTGGATCTCAGTAAATAGCAGGTAAAGTAAAACAATATATGTTTATACAACATTGTTTTGTAAAATGCAGATTTTATGAACTCACAGTAACTGGGAAGAGGCCAATGCCCCGAACAGAAATCCCAGATTGAAAGCCTGGCTTCGATCTTTGAAGACAGAGAGGTGCTATCTTCCTGCTCTTTCAGGGGATTGTACTGTTGAATGTTTAGTGGATTTTGACATAAATATGGGATTGGTATCAGGTAAAAAATATATCCCCTATAATAATTTAATGTTCAGAGTAATTAAGAACAAACCTGAAAAAAACATAATGACGTTTAAGAATTCTAGAATCTCTTTGTTAGCACACAGTGTGAAGTAAAATTCCAACAAAAGTAAGAAATTTAGAATAAAACCTGTGGAATATATGCAAATGAAGTACAAAGAGTTCTTATATTTCATACAAGTTTAGATTAAAATCATTTAAATAGATGTGAGGAGGAATATTAAAAAAGCATAATATTGCCTAATATTTCTAAACAAAAATCCTATCTTAGTGCAAATATAGGATTGATGGCTGTTCTGAGGATACAAATATATCAAGAGTTTCCCTCTCAAATTCCTCATAAAGACAGATGATGTACTCTTGCCCCAACCAGCGACAGATCCTGAGAGTGTGTGCTTTCTCATTTATGTCATTTTAGTTGTGTAATACCCTGTGCAGAAATTTAAATGCATGTAAAATTGAAGTCAATGTATGTTAGTCCTGTCAGAGGCTGGTTCAACTTTTTGTATCATAGATTACTGAAAATTATTTGAATCTAATAAATTTAGATATAGTATTAAACAACTTAGCATTTAGCATTTATGGTTGTCTGATGTGTTAGATGATAGTATACATAATGAATTCCTTTCAGACTAAGACAACTAGTACTAAAGTTCCTATGAACTAGAAACATCTGGCTTTTTTAGGAAATCAATAATATTTATTTTTAAGAACACTCTCAGTATTTAACCTCAACTTATGCATTCATTTGAAATGAAAATAAAAAGTTTTTTTTTACAATGCTTACTTGAATAATAAAACATTCTATTTCCTAGGAGTGAACTGTACTTTAGCTAATCTTCATAAGTAAATGTTTAGAAATTAAACTATTTCTACTTTAATGTACTTCATCTGTGCTGGATTGCTGAGCCCAAGACTACCAAACCTAATTCTTCATTTTCTCTTTAGCAACAGTGACACTTCTTTACACTTACCTGAGGCTTCTCTCAGGAATTTTCTACTTCTTTCTTATCAGCACTGCCTTCTTGTATTAGAAGTGCTCCACTATAGCCTGGATAGAATGATGCTTGATACATTTTGTTCCACTGACACTATGTCTAGAGTCACTACAACCCAGAGTAAAAAGAAAAATGTAGCAGATGAATTCAAAACTGAAGAAACATTCTTACTATTTCCTTCAGGTCCTGCCTACATAGGTAAGTACAGAGGGGAGTTGGAGAGTTATGTGAAGAATGATAACCATGTGGAAATATTCATAGAAGATGAGTAATTCATTTGAAACAATTGAACTGCAGCCCTATTCTGCAGCGTCCTTTCTTGTTATACAATTCTCTTTTAACCCTAGCAACAGATATGAGATGCTTATTTCAAGAAAAACAAGATATTTTACATGCCAGAAGACTTTTTGATGACAGTACCCCCTCCTATTTTTCATTTTTTTAAACAACAACCAAACTGGCGGGGAGGCAGCCAAAATCTGAGGTACCAGCGCTTCGCGAACAGATGTCGCACCATTATTTTTTAGCTCGTTTAGATGAATAAACATGTTAAACTGTGAAGTATTACATTTTAGATTTTTTTCATTAAGAAAAGAGACAATCTGTTTACTGTCCTAATCGAGACAACAATCCTTGTGGTTGCCAGTCTTGGCAGTCATAACAATGAACTATAAATATTTGGACCAATCAAGTAAATGGTGACTATAAAGGCTATAGCATGTGTAAAGTTCTGTTTTCATGGGCACCCATCTTAGTATGGCATTTTTTAAAAAACCTTCATCAAATAAAATTGTTTGTGTGAAGCTAAAGTTTCATGGTAAAGCTAAAAAAAATGGATTTCAATATCTAATTTCATTCTAGCTTATCAACCTTTTTACTGTGTAGCGATCCATCTGCTTATAACAAATTGCTTCTACAGTTGCTGGGTTGAATGCATCAAGGCAGGTCTTCGGTGGGTTGCCTTCTCTGTATCTCTTAGAATAACACAGAATTCAAAACATTCCTTTAAATTTTTCTCATATTTATAAAAATATAAGTGCATTTTAAGCCTCAGGTAACAGCAATTGGTTTTGTTTTTAAATAATGCTTTATGGATAGAGAGTAGTGAATATACTATTCACTTTAATGATCATGAAAAAGAAGCTGTAACTCCCACTCTCTACAAGGATGCTTTGCTTGAAACACCAGAGTAGAAAGTTGGTAAACTGAATACAGGGTCGTAGTCCCAAATACTTGTGATCCATGGAAGGAGTATTTTTCAGGGACCTCTTGCTGTATTAATCTGTGTAATCTCTAACATTCTATTGGGTACTTTTGATTTCTTTGAGACTTACTTCTACAGAGTTAACTTTCACTCATATATGCCATGAGTGTGTGTACTGACTATACTAACTGCCCCTACTCTTGCTTTTAGTCAGCGTTCACCCTTAGCTGTTTTCTTACCATCTGCTTTAGTTACATGCTAATCACATGCATTGCACACATGAAGTAAGAGTGATAGAATGACCTTGGATATAGCCCATGCCTAGTTTCAACTATTATATTTTGCCACTCTTTGTAATTTTCCTCATTTTTCATAATCTGAAATATTTAAAGCATACCCTAGATGACATTTTATATATAAATTATTGGTATATTTATATATAAAATGATGGTTTTGATTTGATTATTTGACTGTTATCAGGGAGTCATTGCCTAAGAAGTTAGAATTCAATATTATTTCTTAGTTTCATCTAATACCAAGTCAATACTCAACTATTCCTAATCATCTTCAAGATATCCACTTAGGATAGAGTTTGAATCAGGTCCATACTGCTCTTGGTTGAGTGTTTGTTTCTTAAATTTATTTTAATGACAGATAGTCTTTATAGGTGTGTTGATCTTCCAGTATTCCTGATTCATTTCATTCTTCTATTTTTGATATTTTCATGAAATGTGAGGGTTTGATAATAATTTATATTGTATCTCAGTGTATTCATAGTTCTTAATGAGGAATATATCTCATTTTCTCACTTGCTCCTCTATGATTTCTTGGTGGGGTCATGTACCCTAGCATGATTCACTCTGAAGCAAGGCTTTCTATTGATAATTTACCTATAAGTCTTTGTATGCATTCAGAATTGTTCTTGAGATCCATTAGCTCTTTGATACTGCAACATAAAATTTTGTCACTTCAGCATTTATTAAGTGGAATTACTTATTATTATTTATACGGTGTATATCTATATAGGTGGAGTATGTTACTTTGATGCTCGTATACAGTTTATAATAATCAAGAATGTTCATCTCCTCAGTGACTTCTTTGTGTGGGTAACTTTATCTTCTTTTAGTTAGTTTGAACTGTATCTTTTTTACCAACACACTACTGTGCTGTGGATAACCAAGCCTGATTCCTCTATGTGTGTTTTATGTGTCTTTTATGCAGCTTCTTTATGTCTTCTCCTCCTCTGTTCTTCCCAGCCTCTAAGGACCACTTTTACATTTTCTCATATAAAATTATTTTTCAGTTCTTTATTATTTGTTCATCCTAGCCTGTAGGCTATCATATATGCTAGGAAGGATAAATACTTTAACCTTTCCTATTATCAAATATCATAGTTATGGATCAGCACTCTAAAGGTGATCAATGCAGACTTAACAATGCTATTTCTGCCATTTCTCTATTGTCATTGTAAGTCACCGATTTTATATACTTGATGTTCATAGTCTATCACAATAATCATTTTATTACTAAAATGAAAATTCCAATATGATTGTCCTTAGAAGCATTTTCATTAAAATAATGACACGTATGCTTCTACATTATTTTATATTTTCTGAAAATGAGAACCAGTGCAATCTGGCTTTATCTATTTTAATTAATTAATTTGAGACAGGGTCTCATGAAGCCCATGCTGGCCTAAAACTTTCTGTGTCACCAAAGATGACTTTGAATTTCATATCCTCCTGTTTTTACCACCAAAGTACTGGGATTACAGGGGTGATAAACCATACTCAGTTTAAAATTTTTAACATAACAAATTTTGAATGAGATTTATATACTATGTCCCTTTAAAAACAGCTATGATAAACAAGAGCTTCTTCTATCTACATGTATATGAGAATACCTTACAAGTTAGTTAACTGCAGTCATTGAAATATGTCTCTTATGTCTATTTAAATTGTGGTTTATATACAAAACTTAGGAAATACGGGTCTTCATTAAAAAAACAAAAACAAAAACAAAACTCTAAAGGGGCTGAAGAGATGGCACAGCAGTAAAGAACACTGGCTACTCTTGCAGAGAACCTACGTTTAATTCTCAGCACCCACATGGTGGTTAACAACCATCCATAACTTCAGTACCAGAGGAATTTGATGTCCTCGTCTGTCTTCTTTGGGCATTGCATGACATTGGTGCACTTACTTACATGCAGGCAATATGTTCATACACGTAAAATTTAAAAATAAATATTTATTTTTTAAAACTTTACAAAATAACATAGTGAAGCTTTAATAAAAAAGAAATGCCTGGTATTCCTGGATGGAAAGATTCAGTTGTACAAAATAAATTTTCCCTTAATCTTGGAACAAAAAGAGAACTTTAATATGCAAACTATTAATATATGGTATAGAATTATATTATAC